ATAAATTTCAGCCTCTATTATTTGCATGAGGTTCCCAGCTACTGTTAACTCATTTATGTAAGTAATATAGGTTTACTATTCGAACACGGGTAGACCGCATTTATTCGCCGTCCTGGCTAAACAAACAGTAATGGCAGAGTTCACATATCATTCGGCTGACTGATCATACAGCACTCTAGCATTTATTTGTTTCTTCCTGATATATTTAGATAGTTATTCTTCGGTGATGAATGTGACTTTCATGCTGCATAGCGGAAGCCTTTTTTTTCTTTGCCTCAAATGATTTCGTTTTACTTACTGGCCGCCATTTTAAAGTGGTGGGGATATTTTTCTTTTTCGTTTGAAAACTGAAAAGACTTCTTTTTTTTTCAGGACGGTGAAGGAATTTACTAGAACGTGTCAGACAACACAGTTTTTTTTTTTTTTTTGGAGGGTGGGGGGGTGTTTGTTTTTTTTTGTTTGCTTTTTTTTTCCTACTTAAAAGTAGGACAGTTGATTTTTTTTAAGCTTAAAAATGTATGAAGACGGGGAACCAAGACATGATGGCTTTCTTCAGAACAATAAAAAAAAAAAACATGGCAAGGAACAAAGTTAGTAATAACCTGATCCCGGAGATTCCAACACTGTAGCAACACCTCCCTCATCGCACTATTTAATTTTTCTACGGATAATCAACACTTTGCAAATTATTTAAAGGCAGAAAATATTTATTTAAATTCTAATAATTTTTTTTTCTGCGGGGGTAGATAATAGTGCTTTATTGATACAAGTCTTATTAAGAAGAAGCGATGGATTCATACCTTTCCTAAGAGTATTAGCGCGTAAGTGAAGGTAAAGTACCCAATAGGAATTGGAACTCAGCTCTCCAATTAACAATTCCAAGCCATTATCCATTGCACAATCCACACATCCAAACTTACAGCTCCTGATATTCTCAAACGTTCGCTTATACAGATACTGACCAGGCACGATGTTGCTTAACTTGTTTCAACGTGATGTGGGCGTAAGCCTGCACTAAAGATGAACGGTTGATGGCTATCATTGTCAGCGTGAGAATGGTTGCAGGGACTGGCCAATTTTTGTCCTTGTATATATGTTTATAGGCACTCCCATTAAAAACGAGCCCGTGTCACATCCTAGCACAGTGGACGAATAGGTAAATAGAACGCATGTACACCGGCCTTCGGGCTGGGATCAATGTATAATATTTGTTCTTCCCTTCTACCTTGTGTATGCCTTCAAAAAGTTCATAGAAAAGCTTTGTAGGATACCGGATCGAGGATTCCCACCATGCGTCAACACCTTCCGAATTGCATTAAAGAATTTGCGGATACCAATGTTAGCGTGATAATGGAAGCAGAGAAAGGTCAGATTTTGCCCTTGGCCCAGATGGATGCGTATGGGCACCGTATATTAAAAAAAAAAAACGACCTTGTGTCACATCCCGTTACCGTAGAGGAGCAAGTAAATTCATGAATATAAAGGGAAATACTGAAGAATCGTTGAAGGGAGGTCGGCAAGCGGTCGAAAGAAAATCAACTGAAACAATGTGTGTGACCCATCCTAATATCTATAAAAGTGTCCCTCCATATTTAATCGATTTGACGACATTTTTGTGGCAGGCTAGATAGTAAACCTACGGTGTTTTGTTCGTCAATTCGCACGAGTTGAGGGTCGTCAGAAAGAAAATTGTCTCTGCCATTGCGGTTAACAAGAACCCCCACCCACACACCAAAAAAAATTTGTCAAATTAAAGAAAATTACCTTGCTAAGACGCAAGCAGATATTGGTCGTGAAAAAACAATGAGAATACTTTAGTGAGGAAAAAGGAAGACAGATGATGGTGATTGGGGTTGCATTCGTAGGTGGCAAGGAAGCAAGAAACTGAAAGAAACTACCAGAATATAACATACGGTTATATCTAGCTATTTTAACAGTAAAATAATAGTGATTTAGTTATAGATACAGTCGAGATAGCAAAGTGGATGACTCAACTGCCACGAAAATATTTACAGAAAAGACAGGAAAGACACGTCACGGCGGTGGGAAAGTGACTGATGTCGAGATGCCAGGTCAGAACCAAAAACATTACAGACACTTCTTTCGGTTTTGTCGAGAATCTCGATACATATAGCAAGATCACTAGACCAGATATAACAGCAATATTCAATGCACGGATGAACGGTAGATTTATAAATGTGCAAGATGGATTCTACCGAGAAAAATTGTCTGGCATGACTCAAAGAACCAACTTTCCCTGCAGCAAACCTAGCAATTGATTCAATATAATGACTATACTTCATGTCGGTGGATAACTTGAGATCAAGAAAGGGGAACGAGTTGCTCTCCTAGAGGTTAACATCGGCCATGCTGATTGTAAATAAAAATGTCTCGATCAAAGATAGCAGCCTCATTTTGGACATTTCTTGACCTAGTTAACAACAGATTCAAGGTCATTTCTGAAAGCAGAACTGTAAAAGTACCGTCTTTTCACTTGTGTGTCGTTTACCCACCCAGGAAGACTGCGTAACTCTAACTTTAAAAAAAATTATTAAACAAAGTATATTTCATAATAAATATGATACTAGGACTAGGATAATAGACTTTACGGTACCTAGTTCCGTATTATGAACTCATTTGGCAGATATTCTTCTCCAGTATTGATAAATGGCGGCCGTAACTCCCGATAGAATACATAGGAAATAGGTTTTTGACATCATTATATATTGGAAAGCCTTTAACGCCATTCCAAAGACGCTGTTCATTATCTCGGGCGGGAGATTGGCATACGGACACGACAGAGACACTGATCACCTTTCAGTAGTCTGTTATGTCGACGGGACACATTAACGTCTATTACCAAAGTGGAAAAAGAAGCTCAAATTTGCGCTCGCCTATTGTCTCTCATAAAAAATAAGACACCGAATAGACCGGGAACTTCGAGCAGACACTGGGTACAACATCATCCTCGTCTTTCCCTGAATTCTTAGTCGCCACAAAGAATTTGTGGCACAGCTGGAGAAGTCTGACGGAGAGTAGCAGGCTGTTGGGAAAAGTGGCAGAAAGGTTCAGGTAGCGGCTTTTCAATACCTTTTTTAGTTCGAATTTGACGACACTCGTGGTATACTGCAACGGTGAAAAACTATTTCTACTGTGTCAGTCTGAATATGGTGAAGAAAACAAAAGGTTTCCGCTACACCAAAAAGGACAACTCAACGAGAATAGCCTTCTTCTTCTTCTTCTTCTTCTTCTTCTTCTTCTTCTTCTTCTTCTTCATCGCGTTCTTCTCGTTCTTCTTCTTCTTCGCGTTCTTCTTCGCGTTCTTCTTCTTCTTCGCGTTCTTCTTCTTCTTCGCGTTCTTCTTCGCGTTCTTCTTCTTCCGGGATAGCCTGTGAAACTGTTGCTACTACTACTAATAATAATAATACTATTACTACTACTACTATTTCAGCTGCATCCACTACTAATGGTTCTAATTTCTGCTATCCTGTCACAAAAACAACTCCCAAACTGACTTTCTTCGTACATAATCTCCCCTCTCTCTTCCATCAGCATGTTGCTCACGAGATCATTGTTTCTCAACCCTTTTGTATTTCATGGCGCACTTGTAGAATAACTAAAACTCCTGGGCACACTTTAAATTTTAATAAGGAAAAATTAATCCTGAAATTTGAAAATAGGAAAATAAAAAAGAAGTCTCATGAAATAAGCATTTATTTCAAACACATTACATTGGTGTCTCTAACTATTATTTTTTTTTTAAAAGAGGATTTTTTAAATATAAAAAAATAATTTATAAATTACTCTTGCGGTGCACATTAGTGTACCCGGATACACAAGTTGAGAAACGCTGCGCAAGATCAATTACGATTGAGTAGTGAGTTCGATCCTTGCTGGGGGCTCCATACTTTCGGCATTGAGCTGCATCTACGCTACGCTTAGGACGTGGCTATAACCGTTATTGATCCTAACAAATGCCTTAGATTTATCATTTATTACAAAAAATTCAAAACGTCTCATCTAATTATTAGAAACAATCCAGCACCTCTAAAATCCAGACTACGTAAAAAAAATATAATGTCTTTATGAATTTTCATGTCCTTTGGGAGATTGTATGTCCAGCACTAATAATGAACAAACAATATTAAATTCTCATATTGGCCACACATGCACCATATACCATATATATATATATATATATATATATATATATATATATATGTGTGTGTGTGTGTGTGTGTGTGTGTGTGTGTGTGTGTGTTGATAAAATAAGGACAAATGAAAGGGTACCAATATAATTGGTACGATAGGCATTTATTAGGTATTAACCATATGACAAAAATGAAACAAGGAGAGAAAGTTTTTATACACTGAATTTTCGGACACGCCCGTGTCCTTCATCAACGGCCCAAGGTGGAAACAGAGAAATGGAAACCAACAGATGTTTTTGTAGATGGGGTATTTTCCAGTGGTAGTTGTATTATTAGCAAAAACCAGATCTCTGATTCCTCGATGTGCGAAACTTTTTATGAAAATAAAATAAAATTTAAAATTTTTATCGGTGCAAAGCATATATATATATATATATATATATATATATATATATATATATATATATATATATATGTAACTGGGATGAGTTCGTCTTTTTGCTATATACATATTTTATGTACAGCCTTCAAAATTGGTATGTATACTTACTTATTTCACCCAGGGGAAGGTTGCAGTATAAAAATCTTGTTCCTCGTGGCGGAAGATGGGGATGTTACGCCTTTCCTGTTTTGCGAAGATATCTGAGTAAGAGATACCGTTTCCTTTGTAACCGTTCGTTGTTAAGACCATAATTTTGTTTTTATTATTAATATCCAGACAAGAAAAAAAACATTTCTGAGCTTTGGAAAAGGTATAATCACGGAACGAAATTTCTACTTTTCATAGAATCTCTTTGTTGGAAACTTACCAATAAGATATGAATTCTATTTCTACTCTTTTAATCTACTAAATACTTTTGACAGGTGCTGCTGGCAATAATACTTGACGCATATGAATAATGACAACTTCTTCTTTTTCTATGCTCCTAGTGTGCGATCATAGCTCTCCACAACTTCTTATCATTTGTAGCTCTTGGTAAAGAGTGTCTTTTCTCCATATCTCCTAAGCCCTATTCTGCAGACTATATACACAAACTTGTTAGGTAGGTTATATTCTTCTTTCCGACTGTTTATCTTGCTTTCAGTATGTCCTGTGAGTGTCAAATTTTCCAGGCCTTCTTTCTTCATTATGTTCCCTAAAAAGTTCAACTGTCTCTTTCGGATCCTAACTATAAATGTACTTTTTTGTTTTCTATTTTCTCTAAAATTTCGTGTTGCTCACATGTTTAGTCCAGGGTATTCTCAACATCTTCCTCTGTGAACAGATTGTCCAGCAGTCACTGCTATATTGGAGAACAGATCTTAAATAACAGGCCAGTAGTCTTTGCTCATGTGCGTCGTAGTGTAATGGATATCGGCTCGGCATGAGGGACCGGCGAGCCGAGATCGAATCACAGCCGATTTCATTACATTCACTTACGCGCAAATATACGTGGGAGTCGTCGAGAAAGCAGTTCTGAAATTTTTTTACCCAGTGCAAAAGGAGAGTTCAGCGAGTGTACTGTGACTAGTAAAAATCCAACATGATGTAAGTTTGTGATCCTGGTGAAACCCACCTAGTGTAACAAACTCACAACCACGCAACTAAATATGTTAGCTCTGTCACTGAGATTGAACACTTTCCAATAAGTACCGCGCATATATAACATACAAATAATATATATGTAGGAATTGCATATATATATATATATATATATATATATATATTATGAAATGGACAAAGTCTGACAATTATTTAAGACAGAGGGCGTTCGGTTCTCAAGGTTGATTTTACTGTTTCATGTAGAATTGTGTTTAAAAACAGTGAAATCAACCTTGCTGACCGAACGCTCCTCTGTGGCCCAATCGGTTAAGGCACGTCAGGCTATATGACGGTGCCGTATAGGATACAGGTTCGATTCCTGTCGGAGGACGCATATTTTCTATGATAATTTCTCGGATATTCAGACCGGTAAATGTTATTAATACTCTTTATTATAAACAGAGCATTTACTTAAATATTTGTATCTATAAAAAGAATGTATAAACATAAAAAATGTCTTAAATAAATAAATATATATATATATATAAGATATCTGTCTTTTCCGTTCAACGATGATTATCCGAAATTCAATGAGCCGAGTTCAAATCCTCTCCTACTCTATTGAGTTCATTTTCGCATAAATACCATTGAGAAATGCATGAATTAATTTCTTCCCCCCCCCCCAGCTATGTGTTAAATCGCAAGTTAGATTGTGTCTTTTAGCTTTGGGTGATATCCAGTGTAGGAGAAAGACTATTCTGAATTCAAAACTTGAAAAGTAACAGGAAACATCTCTTTACTGTTTTTCGTTAAAAGTCATGTTAATTCAGAAAACTAAAATAGGAAAACCGTGAAAATTTCATGGTTTACCTATTTTAGTTTTCTGATGAATCTTAGTTCTTCAGTTAATGATTGAATAAGCTCACGGTGACTTTTACAGCAATAAAATATCCGTAAACATTCCCATATCGTATTTAAATATTTGAGCTTAATAACTTTAACAAAATATTGGGATAACAATCATAAATA